TTTTTTTTTGTATTTGTAGTTGGTACCGATGCAGAAAACTTCAAGAATATATTTTTTTATAAAGCCTCATTTTAATCGTCGATATTTAGTAACATAAATTATAGCATTGACTACTTTGAGTTATACAAACGTTAGTTCTTATTTTTAATACTCTATAAATTGAAAAAAAAACATGCAATTATATGAGAAAATTGTGGGAAATTAATTTATATCGCGTTAATTTACAAAGCAACCACAACTTGAGTATATATTATGTCCATAGTTACCTCGGTGCCTTCGTAAACAAACACTTAATCATATTTTCACTATTGTTATTAGCTAAAAAGCCGCATAAAGGAAAGGTCATTGACTGCATGTACATCAATTTGGATATGAATAAACATAATCCAGATGTTGTTTCCACATTTCTACGCAATCTGAATCTCACGCTTCTACACAAGTTAACAATAAATATATGTTACCACATAATTTTGTATATAAGTATATAATATATAGTAAATATTATATATACATATACATATATGTATATGGAAGTAAAAATTGTTTGTGCGCTCAGGTGTATAGTTCAATAATGCCCATATGGATGCCCCAAAGTGGAAGTAAACGAAACAAATGAAATAGCTTGAAGTAAAATGCGTGCGCTGCAAATCTCATACAAATATGAAGGTTCGTTATTTCCACACAACACATACCACATACATAACCAAATTGAAAAGACTTGAATGAGCGTATGTGTTAGACATTATTATTCGCAATGATTCGTCCTTGAGCTGTTGAATGTTATTGGCATTGTAAATATGTACAATTTTGTTGTGCTACTTGGTAAGCTTCCTAATTTGTGCGCTGTATAGCGATGTTCTTATGCTGCCGTTAGATATTGTAGGTGCGCAGTGTGTGTTTGGGTAACCCCTGCGATCTGTATTTCCAAACTCGCTTTAAGTTATGGTGTAACACTTTAACTTGCATAGCAACCGCAGATAAATTTGAGTTTAAATTGATATGCCTAATAACAAAAACAAAATTTGAACACCTTTTCGGTATTCAGGCTGTATACATACACAGGCTTTGTATGATATATGAAGCCGGTTAAATCAGTTTCAGTTATCTTAGGTAAGTTTTCATGTTCTTCGGTCTATCGTATATACGCGCACTAGTGCCTCAGTTTTTGGGATATCGATCTGAAATTTTGTATGCGTTTCTTTCTCCCCAAGAAGCTGCTTACTTGTCGGAATCGCCGATATCGGGCCCTTATAGAATTTAGCTACCATACAAAATGATCGCTCAAAATTAAGACCTTGTGGGGAAAGGGTTTTATTTGACAAGATATCTTCGTAAAATTTGGCGAGAGAAATATATAGACAACGCTACAATCTCCCAACTAATCCCAACAGATCGAATACCTAGATATATCATATATTTCTCATAAGAACTGAGGCCTTTTTATACCTTTTATGCTATAAGAAACGCACCTGTAAAGCGTATTATGGCTTCGTTCGTAGCAGCCGAAGTTAACGTTTTTTGTGTTTTGGTAAAAAATTCGTATGTAAATTAAAATCCTGTCATTTATTTTGTGTCAGAGATGCCAGATTATGTCGAGGACCTCTTGAACAGGGTGTCAGTTGTTGTATCAAAATGGCAAAACAAAATATTTGTGTTCGCTCAATTGTATATTTTAAAAAGCCTGATAAAGTGAATTTCGATTCCTTCTTAATTATTCTCAGAACAAAGTGTCAAATTTGTTATTATCGTTTGAGCAAGTGTTAAAATCGACACCAGCAAAGAGAAAATACGCCATATTTTACAGTTTTTCTTTGCTAAAGGCTTCGATAAAATCAGTGTTTATGGTCCTAACATTGTAACAGTTAATCACCTGTATTTTTGGTGTCGTCCATTCTATTCTGGTAATTTTAATGCCAAAGATGAACCACGCTCTACAAGTCCAATTGTCGAAAATATCGAAACGATAGAGGAAATCGTCAAGTTCAACCGGTAGGTGAGCGCCAGTTCAATTACCTAGGATCTAAACATTGCACAAAAAAACCGTTTGGTAGCATTCAAATAAAAATGGTTATAAAAAAATCTTCATTCATGGGTCCCACACGAGTTTATGCAAACAACCACATGGAAAAATTTTTTTTAACTGCGAATCACTGCTGAATCTCAACAAAATCGATTAATTTCTCAAGCAGATGGTTACTGGTGAGGCAAATTGGGTCACCTACGATAACGTCAAGCGCAAACCGTTGAGGTCGAATGGCGGTGGCCAGCTCAAGCATTGACCAAGCAAGGATTGACGTTATTTAGTGCGACTGCCAGGGAATCATCTACTATAGGCTGTTGCTCTACTGCCAAACTCTTAATTTGCACTTTTACTGCCAACAAATGAACCGTCTGAAAGAAGCAATCGCCCAGAAGCGGCCCGCTTTGGCCAAGAGGAGATGAACTGTGTTCTGTCAGGGCAACGTCAGGCCACACAAATCGATATCGACACGCCAGAAGTTCCAGGAGCTTGGTTGTGTGGGCCATAAGCATCCACCTCATAGTCCGACTTAGGCACCAAGTGATTACTATATGTTGCTCTCAATGGCAAATAGATTTTGCTGTTGAAAAATTCACCCTAAGCGAAATGGCAACAAGTTGACCTAAATTGGTTAATTTTAACTATGCTAAATAAAATCTTCAATTAAAGTCTTACTTAAAACTTATACTCGTATAAACAAGCCATATCGTTTTATATTAATACTCAACTAATACTAAAAATTTGATAAATTCCCTTATTAACTTTGGTCATGAGATGCAAGCATATATAAATTTATCTATAAACAATAGATAATTATCATTTCGTTAATTTTTGCTCATTATTTTCGCCAAGATTTACAATCAAACGCATTGCAAAGCCCTCCAAACGATAATTTATGAACTAATATTAATATGCTAATATTATATAATATTTGTATGGTAACATCATATATATGTACATATGTGTTGTTGTAACTCTGAGCACCCATATAATTAAAATTGATTAAGAAAAACCCACTAGAAAAAGTGTATAATATACGTTTATGCTGAACTAAATTATTTTTAAAATTATATATAATTGTTGTTAAACTTTTTCCTGACATATGTCAAAGAATTTAAAATAGCGCTAAATGCAGCATATTAGTAAAGGAAGTAAAGCATTTGCTTATCTAAGTACGTCTAAACACCACCTACACCACTACCCACATATATTTAATATGTAGACATAAACACCGTTGTGTGGGTGTGCTCTGAAAGTGATGCCAATGAGATTGGGTAAAAAACATCAGCGAAAACCGCTAACACTAATGGGTGGCACGGCATAGAAAATCATTAACGCAACACGTGTGCATTTGCAACAATAACTTCATTGTTGCTCTTCTTGTTGTGCTGGTGGGGAAGGGGGGGGTAGTGAGTATTGACATGTGTTGGTATAATCATTAAATACATATCATTTCGATGTTAATCTCATTGTTGTTATTTTTAGAGCATATTTTATTATTTTGCAGTATCTACATACATATAAGATATATATATGTGTATACATGTGTGTGTATTTGTATGCACAACACTTGACGCGCAATTGCTGTCAATGCGTTTTATCGGCTTTCGCGGTTTTGCTAAAATATTTTTTCTATTGTTTGAGAAATTCAATATACGCAAAAACATGCTCATTTACATAAAAGCACCCGTTTGTATGTGATTGTATGTGTGTGTGTTCTTACGTACATATACCTGTGCAACAGTACACAAAAAATAACAAACAAAATTTACTCAATCGCTAACCCGATATTATACCCAACGTGCTGCATTTATGGGCATTAGAAAAATGTGTTAGGACAAAAATACTCACGACCTATTCCTTACCGAAATTATAGGAGCAAGTTTTGTGATTTCTAACGCCTAAAACTAGCAATCTGAACTGTGTATAAAATTTTTGACGTTTCCTGATTCCCTTAAAGTTCTATGTGTGGTAGATGAGAATACTGCGAAATCGGCAAATAGTGTTTATGGTACTCTTACTCCTATAGGCAATCATGCGTAAATATATACATATATTGCTATTTTATCATGTCACGTTTTACTTGGGTATGGTTCCGGTGGCTATTGTAAGAGCTCTTCGCGAAAATTACGATCTTCCTTAAATTAGGCTCATTTCCAGCTTAATGGATTCATCAACAAACAAAATTGTCGCTATTGTGGTGAGTCAAATCCTCGCGTGGTTCAGGAAATTGACCATTTGGTGTGGATTGTAGTATGGCGGCATCATCGGACCGTATTTCTTTCGAAATGAGGCAGGAAATGCCACTACTATCAAAAGCGAGCGTTATAACACGATGTTGAACGACTTTTTTCCTCCGGAATTTGATGAAATTGACGCGGACGATCTCTATTTCCAACAAGACGGGCGGCGGACCATGGATACATTGCGTGCAAAGTTTGGCGAACAATTGGTGCGAACTTTAGTTAATTTTATCAGAATTTTTAATAACAAATTGCGGAATTCTAATGGCCAAGTTCCAAAAAACCTCACTTAATGAAAAAGTGTGACATTAATTATTGCTATAACAGTTTTAAACAGCTTTTGGTCGCCCTTTCCAGGTTACGAACACCAGATTGTCATTTCAGTAGAAACAACCATTTGAAAGAAATGCATGAAGTTCTAATATGGTTCAAATGTTATATACAAGTATGTATCTAAATTCCAATGAGTCCATACTTATTGTTACTTCAATTAAATGCAGAATACTTAACAGTCTTGTATGTCAACAGAAATGATGAATAATTTTGTTCATTGGGTATAACCTGATAACTAGTGGGTAAAATGGGATACATAAGTATATATGTTACATATGTACATGGTACATGAATAGATTCAAGACGCAAGTGTGGTAATATCAGGAATTCTTAGCCAAAAACAGCAACAAGAAAAACACTTACTAGCAATAAATTAAAATTATTACATTGAAATAATGATTTACTTCGCAACGGACGAGTTGATGGTACTTCTGAGCATTGCGGGTGGATGCCTGCTGCCGACTGTGTTGCTCTGAGAATGTTGTCTCAGCAGAAAAGAGCTGCGAGAATAAATTTGCTTTTATTGAAGCGTATATACTTTAGCAACTCCAAAAACCTTAAACGTGTTATGTAATGGGGGCTAATGCATGAATAATTTAATATATGTATACACACACGTAGGCATGTATGTATGCGTGCAGGAGTCCAATTCCATCCTTAGACAGTGTTTGCTTTGGCTGATTGCCTTTGTTTTCTTTTGCCTTTCATCCTAATACTTTTGTGCTTTTGCATGCCTTTGTAAAATTAACGGAATTCTATAATCTGAACGGTTGTTATTTTTGGGCTAATTGGATTCTTTCTACTTGTTTGATATCTGTGCAATTATCCGGCTTAAAATGTGTAGATGGTACTGGCATGCATACGTCCTTTTTTTGTATACGTTCTTCTTGGAAGTAAATTCAATGTGATTCTGTGAAAAAAATAATGGGAGAAATAAAGAAACAATTTGATTGCTAAAAAAAACTTCATGAATCTCTCAGTAAATAGGAAAATCCTTATACTTTAATTCTCTGTAAAAATCAGTGAAGTGCATGAAATTATAAAACCTCGACAGTACATGCCTGCGAACCATTTTAGTGCGTATTTTGATGATACCCAACCAAAAGAAGCAAACGTTTTACGTCGCCATTGAATGTATCATTGATGAATTCAAGTAAACCATAAGAATACTTTTATTCTCTGAATATACCCGGAGTTGTTTCAGACTTTTCTCAAGAGCTGTTGAGAGAGGATTTAGAAAAATATGTGTTTGGTTTTTTAGTTGACTTGAATTGGAACTCTGCTGATACAAGTAATTTTACTTCCGCCTAGTTCTAGCGCTATCAACGACATTTGAGGAAACTGTTGGCAAACCAAAGAAAGAATAGACAATGATACTGCCAACGATCAGCGCTTTCTTCACTAAAAGGTTAATTAAAACTACTTATATTTAGATTTTGATATATTTTCCATAGATTTGTCACGTAAGTATACAATTCAATTAATCTATTATAATGGTATTATATTTTTTTTGTCAGATGTGGGAAGCTAAAAATTTAATTTTTTTAATATCTTAGTCAACATTTACATGAAGATGCTTTCGTAAAAATATTTTAATTCACTTGATTTAAAACTTGTACTCACTCGATAACAAAAGACGCTACTTGTAGAGCTTATTGCACGAATAAAAATATCTTTAATGGAATCAAAATTAAATTTTTATTCACGGAAATGTCAATTTCGGATTTAAAATTTTAGTTTTAATGCATTCAATTCAATCTTTTTGTACCAAGAACCTGAAATCGTGTACTTTGTAAAAAACCGAAAAGATTCACTCAAATAAACAACATAAACAATTTTCACAGTCATTGCTTTAACAAAACAAAGTTTAAAGCACCATTATATTAATTATTTCTACAATTTTTTGGAGGTCTGTCTAAGAATGCTTATGGATATATTACAGGTAATACATCACTAAACACTGACCAGCGTATATTAAGTTTGCCACGAAATTTGTAACAAGCGGAAGTAAATTTCGGAGACCTTACAAAGTATGTATATATACGATTAGCGGGACGAGCTGAGGCGATCAAAATCAAATCCTTGTAAGGACAACTTTTTATTTAACAAAATATCTTCATGAAATTTGACATGGACTATTGTTCTGGGCTGCGCTATCACCTCCGAAGCATATAGTTAGTTGCATTACAAACTGATCGAACAAAATCGAGATAAAGATCTTTTTATGCCATAAGAAATGTATCGCTTTGTTCTTGTTTTGGATAAGGCTTACTTTTTAAGGACGACAGCGTTGAAAATTTATCGACTGAAAATACCATTCTTAAAAGAGAGGCAGTGTAGATGTCGTAAAAATCATTGATTTCAAAAGCTGTTGAAAAAGGAAAGGCTTGCTGAAACCTCGCAAATTTCAAATTAACCAAGTGATATTATGACTTCTAATAAATACTTACTATAGGAATTTAGCAAGAAATGCTGATACTATCTGCGATACTAGTGTAATATTGCTTTACAAATTGTGCTAAATCCGTTTAGAAAATAAGTTTAATTTCATACCAATTTTACGAATTTCTTAGCACAAATGATTCAGGTCTTCTCTTATTTCGCTACTTATACCATACGAACACCTAATAATAATTGGACCAAAAAATTCTATATTTTTCAACTGAAATGTAAAGCTAAGTACCACAACTTCCTTCTCCAGCTGTATTCCTCAGCATACTACCGCACTTATTTTTCTACTCAGCGTTTTTTCTTTCAAAAAAAGTTTACAATGCTTTACTATATACTGCGCTTTAATATAGTGTGAGTGCGCTTTTCCTGCCACATAGTTTGACAACAGTTTTATTCTACTTTGCAGGAAATATTGACGAGCGCTTAAAGTCGTTAAAAAATTGACGGCAGGCGTTGATGCTTGAATTTCCAACAAAAAAAAAAAATACAATAAAATCCGAGAATTTTTTTGCAAATTTGCGTGTGCATGAGCGTGCAAAACAAAACATGTTTTGTACCATGCACTAAGGAACGCATTACCTATTTTATTATAATGGCGTTTGTATTGTTATTTTGCCAGTCACAAAAACAAAGTAACTAAGGAAAACACTAAAGAAAAATCTGTGTTTATACAAATGTTTACACAAATTAAATTCGCAAAGCTTGGCACACATTAAAATTCAAAATTTTTTTGTAAATCCAACAAAAAAAAATCATACAAAACAGTTAGTCAGCTGTCACTTTCAGGCAGGTGAACTCAATTTATACACACACATAACACAAGCCGTGCGCTACCTTGACTTACACGAACGCGAAATTGCTACTAAATAAATATTTGTCGCTACAACGGAACTCCACCGAACTTACTTATGCGTACGCACTCGCGCTCGATTAAGAAGCGATTAAGCACTTATCGCCGTTTTTTGTTTACTATATACGCCAAGAATACACTGTTTTCCCCCATTCAACCGAGGCAGCAGCAGTGATGTTGAAAAGACCGAAAGTCAACGCGCACGACATCATTCACAACAGTTGAATGGCGCGCCGAGATAACAACACCAACAACTATGAGAACCCGCTTATGCTTTGCATTAAACGAAACAGACACACTGGCGTGCGTTGGAGTGCAGTAAAACCTTTAACGAACTTGAATTTGCAGACCTTATATTACGTATATTGTACAGACGAGTGGCAACGAAAAATCGGCTTGGCATTCGTTTTTTACAGTTTGAGTTAGTTTCGCGGTATTTTTACGTGATTTCATTGTTGTACTGCAATGTTTTTGTTATACACTTTAGCTTTGTTTTGTTTTTTGTTTTTGGTGTACCATCTGCGTTGTACTTGAACACAAGAGCAACTGCTTCGGCCAACGCACGATGTAGCACTCGAATGACAGGCTAACACACAAGTGTTGAATGATGAGGCTAAAAAAGCATCAACACACAATTACTACCAACTTGGCTGTGTTGCCGTATGAGTGTGGGTGGTGGATGTTGCGGCAACATATTGCTTGGCGGCACGTGCTGCTGTGTGCCTAATAGAAGCCAAATGCATGCTTATATGTGTGTGGTGTGATTGTATACACGTACATACATACATATCAATATGGTGTGGTGTGGTGTGATGTGCCGTTGAGGATACGCTTGGGGCGCAACAAGTTGCTAAATGCGCGTATGGCGTAGTAAACAACGGAAGTTCCCAGGGTTGCAGTTGCTTTCACTTACAAATTAAGTTACATACACAGCAACTTATGTATACTAGCATGTGTGCCGGTGGACCTGCTGTCCACGTATTAAATATCGTCGCTGAAATAAGTGTATTAAAACAACCGCGGTGCAAAAAAAAAAAAATACAGTGCATGATAAATTAAAGAGAGACTGCAGCTTTTAGCTGGAAAACTCTTGTACTTTAACCTTCAAATAATGCACGCTGTGTATAAAGTTGCATGTTGAGAAGTTGGAATGTTGTTGCTGGCGTGTTTTAGAAATATTAAATATTAAGAAAAATAATACCTATAACAGATTTTTGTGGTTAAAAGCATTTTTCAGTGAAAGGGTGAAAAGTTGGAAACATCGCCTCACTACTATGCAGGATATATCGAAATAGCTATAGGTGTATCCCCAGCTTAACGGGAGTATATTTACACATATTTAAAAAATACCTACACAACAACATTTCAGAAGAAGAAAGTTTTTCGAGTTACACGCGATCTCCGACGCCGCTAAAATAAAGGTCCTCTATTGCTAATTGCTAAAATGGCGGCGTTTAAATACAAAGTTGAATTTTAATCAAAATTTTGGTTGATTTTGGCCACTGACATTAGCGGCCTCAACAAATTTGTGATAAGCTCAAAGCATTTGGTCAATGTGTAAGGGTTTTATAAATGATTATATAATAGTTTTAGGTAACACAATGGAACCGTGTTCTCTGCTGTTCAATGAGATTCCAGTTAGGATCGACCTCACAACCTAACCGAACCTAACCTAACCTAACGACTAAGAAGCGACTGCTAATAAATATTGAACATCGTTTTTCTAGAATAAGATCCATTGGGAATTAAGGATGATATCATTTGCACAGCACTATTAAAAATATTTACTAATATATAAACAATTGTTTTCACTGAATTGAAATTCTAAACAGCATGTAGTTCCGTCTTTGAATATTCTGTACTCAACGAGTTAACAAAGATATTTAAATTAACCCAATTAGAAAATTTGTTTACCAGGTAAACAAAATAACATCTTCATATCGCCTTTCCTATTTCAATTGAATTTTCCGTAGGTAAATACCAGGAAATACCGCGTCAGCTAAATTTACAGTCCACTTACCCGACAGTTGGACGGGCCAACCAGGTCAGTGTCGTAGTAGTAGTCAACGTAGTAGTAGTAAACAACCGACTTGCCATGCTTAATAAATATTTGATATTTCCGATTTTCGATTTTTGTTTTTTTGTTAAATGTTTTGTACTCTCATTTATCAATACTACCCTCGCATATCAAAGCTGCGTTTGAATATATATGTAAATTGACGTCTGTAAAGGTGAGGGCGAGTAACTATGTATCGAAATTAAGCTCGTGTGATTGAATGGGGTGTTTGAAGATGTTGGCGGCGAGGGTGCTGGTGTACTATTCCAGGTACATTACCGTTTAAAATCATTACACTTCAACGCGTTTACTGCGTAAATTAATGCCTTTTCTACTCTAATCACTTGTTTACCTGTCATAGCAACAAAAGGCGCTACAATACAGTGCTTTAATATACCCCTCATAGTATGTATGTACATAGGTACGTAGCTGCATAACCTTAAGCTTGTAAAAGCGCTGGCGTTACACTTTCATTGCCAAGCATCTTCACCTTCATATTGGCGCCAGTTACACCTCAATGGGTTTCTATTCAAATTAGTGGCGGTGCACAAAGCTTCTTTTATTTATTTATATTCCTTTTTAATTTTTTCTTTTTATTTTTGTAACTCTATTTATCCATATGACATTATTTGGCGGGCATACACCCGTATATATTTAGGTATGTAAACCTGCTGACGTATATTTGCATGTGCGTATATTTTGCGTCATTTGCTCGCTTTAATAAGTAGTTCACAGATAATTTTACATAAAAAGTGCAAAGCTTCATAAAATCTTCTAATTATTTTAGTTACATAATAGAATTACATGATTTCTTTATAATGTCATTAACAAAATTCTGTATTTAAATATACTGTACATACAAATTAGTTTCTTTCGCTTTTTGTAAGTGCCTTGGCGTATACGTAACCTTAATGCACACGCCTGAGCGAAATCAAATAAGACTGGTGTTATACCGTGAACAGGATATATTATATTTAGTTTGCCACAAAGTTGTAAATACCCAGAAGGAAACAGTGGATACTCTGTAAGGTATATATATATATATATATATATACGCGAACTAGTCCCTTAGTCCACACGTTCTTTACTCCCTAAGAAGCAGCTCATTGGTCGAAATTGCCGATATCGAACCACTATATCGTATAGCTGCTGGCTTTTTTATTTCACAGAATATCTTCACGGAATTTTACTTTTATGTATCGATTAGCTGCTTTTTTTGCATTTTAGTTATGATAATACACAATTTATTACATTACACTACTTTAAAGATATATGAATCGAAAACTTTTCTATCACTACTATATTAAAAACAGAAATATTTTACCTACTCTAAAAACCTTTCAAAACACATAAACAGTTCAAACATGAAACTTGTCAATATAAAATTCAAAATTTCAAAGTAATAAATAAAAAATATATAAAAAAATAAATAAAAAAATAATTAGCTGTGTTTACAGAATTGACCTCATGTGAAGCTCATCCAACCAAGTCTTAAGAATGAAATGAAAAATTTGCTAAATAATTCGCGTATGTGGTAATCATATATTTTCATATTTATTATTTATAAGCGTATTTAATTTATTTTTGGAGTTCAAGTCAGAGTTTATGTATGTTAGATGAGTCGATGATGAATTTATACTGCAAAGTCTATTCTTGTTTTGAAAGCTAGAAAAGATTTCTATCTCAATTATACCTCTTAAATATATTTGGTGTGAATTATATCAACAGCAGATTCTCAAAGAATGAAATTTTTAAAAATTCTTGATAATTTTGTCGGTTATATCGAATATCGTCAACATCAACTGAACTACAATAGCATAAGCATCCAGGCAGTAGTAAAAGTTAATAAATAGAGCTATATTAGTGATTATATTAATGAATTTCCTTTTCTGATAGAGCATAATTATTATTTATTATATAAAAAAATTTATTCATATCATATCAATTTATCAATATCATACTTTCATAATGTTGTGTAATTTTTTTCTGTTTTGGAATAAGAGATATTACATTAATTTATAACACTATAATATACTTAATGAAAGAACATGTTTAACACGTGTTTTACTATTTTCAATCTCTGCATATAGTTTTGTCATCACTAATATTGGACTAAATGAAAGAAACAAGCTGCTTTTCTCAGATCTTCATTTAGACTCCTTATATTGTTCGTTTGGTATTTCTTGTATTCTAATTTGATGTACACGCAGGCACTTAAACGTTTGGTTACTTATCCCTAGGCATCCTATCAAATTACATGCATCCTAGAACTGATAAAACTGAACATGCTTACAGGTATCTTAAAACTAATAGAACTGAACATGTGCGCGCAGGCACTTGTACATATGTTTAGTTGGTGTTGGGAGTGTATGTCAATATGTGACTATATTCGCCGTCCAATATGCATATTTCATCGCATAACGGAAACTATCAAGAGGGGTTGGAACAGGAAACAGGGTTGCACACGCTGAAGAAAATATTTTAGATTTTAGCTGTTGATAAAGCAGTTTTTACAATCTATATATTTATCAATTTGAAATTATATTTCAATGTATAAATTAAAATATTTTGCAAGCGCTAATGTCGTTATTATTGTTATTAATTTTTTATGAATATAAAATACAATAAAATATTATATAAAATGGAATAGTGAGTGGTTATATGCTGATGCTCATGTCGATACGGCAGTGCGCAATTATATTAAATTTTGCCTATCATATGTGGCATATTCAGAAACAAATACTTAAGTAATTGATTTATTAATCACAACTAGTTAATTTAAGTAAAGTATAGTTTGTTATATTCATGTTTCCATTCCATTTCATTTTAATTTTCAATATAAACTCAAATATGCTAATAACTAACTATTCATCATAAATCAGTACTGCATTAACCACGATGCTTTTATTTCCTTTTCTACTCAGCATTTAACAACGCACCCATTTCCCACCATATGTTGACAGTTTCCGTTCTTCACAGCAATTAATTTAGCCGACTGGCAAATGTGAGTGCTGCACAAGCATTAAAATTCGTGTTAAATTCAGCATAAAATGAAAGTGTTTGCTAATAAAACTATTCATTATTTATTAACCTGTTATTAAAGGTAAAATTCAACGTGTCTACATTTCTTTTAATATAAAAATTATGTGATTGAAAATAATATGTGTTCGTGCATGCATTCGGTAGAATGAGGACAGCAGACATTCGGTAGAATGAGTAGTGGAAAATCAAAACACAATTTTATTTCACAGCAAACATGCAGGTATTTCAGCATGCACAAACATGCAAAATGGGAAATAGCGAAAGTCACATTGTTGTTTAATGTAACGTAACCAGTTACTTACAACATGCACAAACATGTAAATTGGAGAATACGAAAAGTGACAATGTTGTGCACGGCCTCTTCTATTATTGAATGATTATTAAAGTGAGTTAATATTTGTGTTCTGAGTAAATAACTAAATGAACATCCAAATTTGCAGCATTCAGTATTTAAAATTCAGAATTAAAAGTGATTTGCTTATTATTATGAAAAAATAGTTTTTGTGATTAAAAGTGTAAATCAAACTATGTGAATAAATTGTGAGTAATATAATACAAAAAATAGCGCAGTAGTAGTCGTAGGAAAAGTAAAAGTAATACAAAGTCGTAGTCTAAATAAAAAAGGAAAAACAACATAATAAAAAATAGTGCAGTTACTTGGTGCAAACTGAAAAAATTGTGAGTAATAAATAGAAAATAGTGCAGTGGCGTAATGAAAATGAAGAAACTATGAGTAATACAGTAAGAAAATAGAGCAGTGTAGTAGTCTAAGTGTAAAAGGGTATGCGTTTAGTTATTACAAACAATAAAATAATATGCTGCTAATATATTGAATACACCTAAATAGATGACTAAAACAAGCGGGTGAGTTTGCTTTGAAACTTTTTACTATCTCTCTATCCTAAAATATACATATGTACATATATGTATACACAAATGTCAAACGAAACATTAATTTTGGAAATTATTTATATAACTGTCGTGACCGAATTTTTCTACATACATGTATATGAATATTTTATGCATGTATACAAATCTGAAATCCAAAGTTTTTGTTATGTAGTTAATGAGGTTCAGTTCCACTCTTATAGCGTTTTCTTTCCCCACAAAAATTTTGCATTTATTCTGCTCACGCTGGCAAATTTGCGTGTTCTGTTTTCAAACATTTTTTTGGTCGTTTGTTCTTTTCTCAAAATTTTGCATTCTAAAAAGTGTAACGTGCTCTTTCCTCTTAAAATTTAAGAATGAGAGTTCCCTAGAAGATGTTCTCTAGCAAGTCACGGCTCCCGAAACTCCAATACATTAAAAGTATTACCTCGGAAACCAACCCATACACACCGTGCAACTCATAAGAACTTTGCGTAAGAAAGGGATGAACGATCACACGTACACAATAGCTTCAGTTAAATTTGTTAATTGGGCCCTACGAAACTCATACAAAGTTTAACAGAAATATAGCGCTGTTGGGTAATTGACCGGTTATTTATCCAATAACTGGCTTGCAAAGTTATTTATCATTTTTTAAATCAAGTTTTTCTAGTAATTATAATGAGTATGAGCATTTATATAGTGTTGCCATAAAATCTGTCAACATTTTCATTGAGAAAAGAAAAGGCGGTTTGTATTATATTAAAACGTCGTTATTAATGATTCTTCATTTATTCATCCGTCTTCCATTAACTCGACCGACTTATAGTATGGTTCTAAAACTGTTCCTTCTGCCTTTCTTAAACTTTTCCCTTCTCTAATAGTGCTTTCCAAACTATTCTCATTATTTTATTGTTCAGAGCTAACAAGTAGATATTTCCACCGTGAGCTTTAATAAACTTTTACAAATTTGTTCCATTATTTACCCCTTTGTGTACAATAACAATAATTATACGTACATATATGTATCTAAATAAAAGCTCTCAAACAGCTGATTCGCAGAAAAAATCTCATCAAGTGAGTGTTCAAGTGGGCGAGTGTGATGTGTTCTTTATAAATTTTACGCAATCCTCATACGAAAATTATTAATAATGTACATATGATATATTATTTGTAATTCCAAGTGAACTTGTTTACAAAAGAATATTTGACCTTGTTTCTGTTTGAAAGGAAAATCAAGAGCTTGTGAAATCTTTTGTTTTGGTACAAAGAGAAAAAGTTTGTTTAAATTGCACTTGTGCTTACAAAAATACAAACGTATTTACAAGCATATTTAATCATCGTTATTCGTTGCTTGTGGTTGTTGTAGTTAATATTATTATTATTAGAAGTTCGCTTTAAAGCAATAACAAATCATCATAAGCAGCGTTAGGCCGTATAAACGACAAATACTCGTACGAGTAGCCAAGTATTACCGCTAAGTAAATTATATATTAAAGGAAAAACAACAACAGTGGTGACAAGTGGCAAACCAAACAGCATAATCAGTAAGTGAAATCTTAAATATTTTCCGCAATTATTATGTATGCCTAATTTTAGATGTTTGTCGATTGAACAAAAGTGTGTAAACTCCAAATGTGTGCATATATGTATATACATATGTATATGCGTGTAGGTATTATAAATACATATATGTACATATGTAATTGCATGGGCAGGTTGTAATCACTTGCCACTTCAATTGCTTATTTATCACTGCTAAATGTTGCTTACTATTTTTGTCATAATCAAATTGAAGTGTATGTCTGTTAAGTGATATGGATGTCGAGTGGGTGTTTGACTTTGGTCACTGCTGCCTGTTGACTAGACAGGCAGACAAACAGGCAGCGAGCAGCTGGTGCCCATGATGATCGTCAGCTGTTGACTTTGTGGAGCAAATGGAGTGGAGTGCAGCGTAACATTTATTTGCTGCGTGCAATTGTTAGCTAAGACAATTTTCCACATGGATACATACATATACATATGTGCAACTCAAACTTACTTGCTCACTTAAGTAATTACTTACTTACATATACATATGTGTGTTATTGATCACTGTGCCACTTTAATTGTTGGCCTTTGTTTCTAAATTTAATTAAGTCAATTTGTTTTTGTATAAATTTTCAAATTTATTCGTTACAGTGCACTAAGCAAGAATTTCCGCTTGTTTTTGCATTTTGCTTTATTTTATATAAAAACACTACAATATATTTGTAATAATTTGCTTTAATCTCAATCACAATTTATTGATTTTCGCTTATCTTTGTGCACACACCTTTTCACAATTGTTTCACAATTTGGCAAGCGTTTGGCGTTGATTTCTTGTGCCGCGCTCACTTGGTACTTTTACTTATTTAGCTTGCTTGTGACTTCCATTTAATTTGCTGGTTTTCATCAAAAAATTCTTCCACTTAATATAATGAAATTTTTATTTATTTCTTGTTAGTTGTTGGTATGCTGTGTGGCCGTGTGCGTTTCCTCTAATTTGTTTTTATTTTCCGCCTCGTTCGAATCATTCAGCACGCAGAAAATAATCAAGTCAATGCGAATTTATGTTTGTCTGTATGTCTGTATATGCGGCGCTTTAATAAATTAGTAAAATAATATTTACAATATGAACGTGTGGGAAGGTTGTGTATTCAAACATATATACATTCCTATGTATGTTGTGTATATACATATGTATTCGACTTATATCATTTCCATTGGCGGCATATTTGAAAAGTTTATCAAAGATTTTTAGTGAAATATGAATTTTGGAACATGTTTAGTCTGTTGTTGTTGATGTTGATCATATTGGGAGTGTTTGTTGAAGATAGGATCGATTTGGTAACAGTGAAAACTTAACTTACTGGATCAGTTAGATCGGAGATTAGTTAGGCTTGCCCGCTTATTACGTGACACGGTTCATTTCTTTTCATTAGAGGTGGTGAAAACGTCCTTCTATAATGCTTTTATCACCTTGTTTTTCAAGTGCGATCAAGGCCTATTCATCAAAATGATAGAATTGGTATATATTGTACTATTACCTCTAATACCGAATATAACGCCTTTAGTATTTTGTTGACTTTATTCATAAATAATTACAAAAAATTAACAGAGTTAGTCTCTACATACAGGTTTTGGTTTAAACTTTTTTTAAACGATATTTTAAAAAGTTTAATCATCATCGTCTTAACACCTTTTAGAAAATGGAGAAATTCATTAAGAATTCCTAATATAAACCTAATAAATATTAATCTGTCTGATATAATGAGGCCGATATCACAAAGAAATTGTATATTTAGAATCCTAACAATTATAATGAGAGAACTGGGTATAAAATTGGATTACATGTTAACATTGACTCTCTCCAATTATTTTAATACCGAATTATTTAAGTTTCCCACAATATTTTTGAATTATTTATGTTTTCCGACAATATTGAGTTCTGTGACTTCATTACGGTGTCTAGTACATATCTATCCAACAATAACACGACGCACGAGACTTGAGTGTGGCAGATAATGCTGCACACGTTTTTTCGCAGTAATTTTCCTAGGCGATTTAATCAATTATTTGCGAGTAGTAAAAATAAATTTCGCAATAATCTAAAAATGCGAAATGAAATTTATTAATATATATGTATTTGCTTCATATATATTTGAAACATGTCCAGCACATGTACTGATATTTCAGCAATAATACTGTCTGAGAATTCATTATTATATATTCACCCTAAATATTTTGGTTTTAAATTTGGCGCGACTCTTTCCATCTTTGTTGTTTACGATTACGTCGATATTGTATCGTATTGGGCGATCTTAGAAATATTAAGATACGGAAAAAGTTCTAGGTGACCGGACATCGATAATTATTCACTGCACTTATTATACATTCTGGTACTTATTTACTAATTTTTTGGTAATTTATTTATGCCTTTGAGGCATGAACTATTTGCTCGTATGTGCCCCGTTTTGGTTTGTTGAGATATGGCATGCACAATCCAAATATTAGCTCTTCAAGTTCGAAGTAACGATTACAGTGCCATTTGCCCTATAATATTGGCCTTTCTCTATCTCAAGTTTAAAACCAGTTTGTTTCTTAAGCCAGGTCCATTTGATATCAGTCTGTAACGCCAAGAAATTCGGTTTTGAACGAAGGGACATTGTAGTAAAATCATAACCGGGAAATTGTTTTGTTATCCCACTGAATCCGGTACAGGATTGTAAGTTAGTAGGAAAGCGCTCAGCTATTATGACATTCCGGGTTCAGTTTCAAGAGGTCTTCAGCAGCCGTAGGCGATTCTTGAGTCCAGAAACAGTGGTGTATTTTTAGTTACTACCTTAGAGTTTTAAAAATAAATTTTACACCACACTTGTAACCTATATAACCAATAAAGTGTCACAATGACTTACCCCAACCTGACTTCGGATCAACGCAGTAAAATTCCAAGGTTAATGTATTATTAAGCATACCAGACACGCTGCACGTGAAAGAAGGATGAACATTTATTTTTGAACGGTGTCAATAATATTATCATAATACAGCCGCATCAAAATAAATACACATACAAATAAATACAAACGTAGTGCAAATATTAGTCACAATTCCAAGCTAAAAGACAAAGAAAGTTGCGGCGGCGCTATAGTAAATGGTGCAAATATTGAGCACTTTATGTTCACAACACATTTGCATCGCAGCTTGGTTTGGGCAACAAAAAAACATGCGATCAAGTCATGATGGAATAATAATACCTGCTTATGTACATATGTATGCAAAAAAATACGTCTGTGAAGGATATAATAGAATGTTAATTTTTGGATATTTACAGAGTGAATGAACTTTCGAAAAATTTACTCACCTTTGACAGTCGAGTGTTTTGATTGTGTCCTAAGATACTGTGAAGTGTAACTTGAGTGAAAATATTGGGTATATACAAATTTATTTGAGTGAAAATAGTATCAAGGATTTTCAAAATGTTTTATTCATTAGCGAAAACACAGAAGTGGAAAAATATGATACAAATGTATACACATAACCAATACAATGATAATTTGCTTTGAGATGGTAAACAAAGAACACATTTTCAGTCAATAGGTAAACACATCAATTTTGAAAAATGCAATTCATGGCTAGATGAGTAATCAAAATAAATTGTAAACATTTCAATATTATATAACTCATAATACATAATAAGCAATGTTTTTCGACTAAACTCTCGCTAGAATTTTTTTCGCTTTCCAAAGCATTATCACTCAATGATTCTAGCCTTTCATTACTTAGACTTTACAGTTCCTAGCAAGTTTTGTCGAACACCATCAGTGGTTACCACTTTATTAATATTTTATTCCATGCTTCACTTATACTTTTTAAAAGTCTTTCAATGAATCACTCCAACAGTCAGTTTGGAACTCTCAAACTTATATCAACATTACAAATATAACCTCACTTATTTAATCTCACATCTTTTGTCAAGCTCTTTTATTTCAAGAGAAAGTAAGATAGTACTTATAAACATATGTATTTAATAGGTGTAACTAGATCTCTATTTCTTAAACACTTTTTAAAGTTGGAGTTTACAGCTTGTGTTCAATGTCGGTCTACTTCATAGTAGTGAGCCTAAGTAGAATTTCGCATCGAATTGGTTAGTTAAAGAGCTTTTATATTAAATTTAATTAGCATACATTCATTAGTCTAGAAAATTGAGTACTCATCGGACCCAACCAATATCCTTTAGGTAATAAAAAATTCGTGTATCTTTCTGTCAACAAGACTCTTAAATTATTATAAATATAATGTCTAAAAAGCTTATAGGAATTTTAGTTCATACCAAATTTGAACTGTGGATGAAAAATGTTAAATATAGAGCTTAGAGTGTGTAATAAAGTAGATGCACAACATTAAGATAGCTCATAAGATTTATCTCCGGTAAATATCTTATTTGGTTTCAGAGACACTGATCCAATTAATTTACTCATCTTCCGATGTTTAACATCTGGAGACTAACGAGCGAAATGCTTTGTCGTTACCGCAAACATTCAAAACTCTGTCGGATAACACATATGTACTTTACCGGCTATTCGTTCAGATATAATATGGAAGGTCTTAAATTAAATTCATTCAATGTTTATTAAAGATATTACTGTACTTTGAGAGAGAATTACTTGGTAATAGCTGAGAATAGATCTAATTAAGCTGATTTAGTTATATAATTAAAAAAGTTGGAGGTCTTACAGTTTTTTTCATAAAAATTGCGTGTGGCGTAGTTCGAATTTTTTCTCAGAGCAAGTTGCTAGTACGTATAACGTCACTTAAGATCTCTCAAAATTCAAACTTAGTAAAGAAACAGGTGATAATATGCAAAAGGTATATTACGTTCGATGTTTATATACACATTATATTCGTATTCTTTAAACTTTTTCTTTGGGCTTGCTTATAAGCATATTTATATTATTATACAATATCTATTTTTTTAAGGCGTTATATAAATAGTTTTGTTATCTTCTGCAGAGTTGCTTATTATTGTGTTACACATCGCCGTTGCTTTATATACTATTTGTGTACCATTTCTGAATTCTAGATATGTATGTTTGTATTTAATTTTTATCTGAAGAAATATTTAACCAGATGTCAATGCCATATTTTTGTGTTTCCTGCAAAAGGGTTAATGCTGCGTACATTGGCCCAGTGCCAAACTATTGCAAACAAAAATGGAAAACATACAAGTAAATCAAAGTACAAACATATATATGTATGTATGTATATATAAATCAAAATATATGAAAGTTAAAATATATAAATAAATTAAATGTAATTTACGGTTCAAGCATTCCACTGTGTGCTTTGTGTGGATTTAGTTGGATGTCGTTTTTTGTTTTTGTGCGACTCTGCACTTTCGTCTACGGATCTTGACAGATTTTGCAATATTTTTGTAATTGTTTCTTTGTTTATGCCTACACGCATATTGTACACTTGTGTTTGTACAAGTTCCGGTTACGAAACGCGCATATTTTATATAATGTATTATATAGATTTTTTTAAGCTTACATATGTGGATAAAACATTTTTTTTCTTAAACTTATGTTTATTTGTTCTCAACGCATCTGGCTTATTATAAATAAAAGTATGCGGCAGCATATCTTGCATTCACGGTTCTTGCATTGAGCTGGGGTAGTTCGCACGTGCTTTTCTGTCGCAATCTGTTGCCTCCAGCAGCTCAATCGATAGTTTAAATTATAAAATTTTTCAAAGAAAATTAAAAAATAATTTTTTAAATAAAATTTGCAATTATCTCTGTTGTAGCAAATGTGCATGGTTATAGCATAAGTGTTGTCAATTACTGAATTCAACAAGTGCACAGCATAAAAAATATGAAATAATAAATAAAATAATAAAAAATTGAATTAAACTAAAAAAGTGGCGGCTATAGTGAAGTTCCTCTTGGTGGGTAGCATATTTTAAACAAGATTTTTTTTCACATATGTGTAAGTGTTTTATTTTTTATCACACAATTGCACTAATTTTGCGAATCTTCAAATTTGAAAAAATGTTTGGCTCTTCCCAAAGCTAAAGAAATTTAAATGAAGAAAAAGTTCCAAAAATTGTATTTAAATTTATTTGATTTTATATTTACAATTCCTAAGAATTTCTCTGAATAAAGGTTGTTTGTGAATGAGAATATAAGTATATAATATAATAAGTTTGCCACGATGTTGTAACACCTCAAAGGTAACATCAGAGACTATAGAGTATATATAATATAAACAGCGCGACGAGCTAAGTTGAGATAGCCATAACCGTCTGTGCGTCTGTCTCTCCATCTGCCATACAAACTGAAGGCTCGAAATAAAGTGCTTGTATGGAAAGTTTTGTCATTTGGCGAGATATCTTTAATAAATTTGGCATGGAATATTGCCAAAGAAATGGTGCAATCTTCGAAGAAATGATTCAGATCGGATCACTTTGTGGTGCCATTTCCTCTTTTAAATTAAAAGAAATTAAAGCCATTGAAAATTTTCAAATAACTAAGAATTTTTATATATCTAAATAGGTGGCAAGGTAATTAATTCACATTCCTGTCCACTAAATGTCATGTAACTATAGGAGGCAACCCTTAAAGTAATATTTTCGTAATAAAGTTTGGTTAAAAAGCTGCTTTAGACTTCTGATCTTTTATGCAATTTATTGTAGTATTTTTTTTTTTTTAATTTCTCTCTCTGGCAATTATTTTTATTTATTTGAACCGAAAAATCGAACATCAAACACCAATTTATTTCGCAATTAATGAGTTATTAAATAATTAATTAATTATAATCTCACATCTCTAAATATTCATAAAATACACGCAAAATGTTATGATTATGCATTGCATTACTTAACCAGCACTCTGCAATTAGAGGGCGCGTGTTCGCTGGCTGTTCAAGCATTTGATATGCAGTGGTCGTACATGGCGTATAATTGATATTTCATATAAACGCATTTAACGACCAATTGAGTGCGCCAAATTGATAACATCTATATGAGCAGACGTCAAACGTAGCTCTGTTATCTTGAGTATAACGACCGATGACGATGCGACGTTATTTTGGTTATTTCCGCAGACAAATTTTTCCTATAAACAAGCTGCTCGTGTGCCGCGCATAGATGTGGACTTCGTGCCAGTTGAATGTACACTCAACTCAATATGACTCTTTAGGTATGTGCAATGAGTGGCACTCAAAACGAGAAATGCGTTTGATAAATGCTCGTTGGCGGTCGTTTTTGTTGTACGTTTTCCTGTTAGAAGGGGATTCCTGCTTTTTATTCTTATTTTGTGCAATACAAAAGATAATTTCTAAATTTGAGTGCAACTTCAAATGAGTGGATTTTATATAACTCAAATTGTTCGTGGACTGGGTATGTGTGTGTATATGTATTTGTTTATAATCTTGTGGGCTCTTCGTCAATGGTGCGTGCAAAAAACATTAGTACTTATTATTGGTTATGGTTCTTGATGTTGTTGAGTCTGTGTTCGGAGCAGAATTGCTGTGTCATTTTAAAATCACTCAACAATTGTAAATATATTTGCATGTATGTAGAGTAATTTAGTAAACGATCTAGCTGGCCAGTTGAGATTTAAAAGCCTCTGGCTAAGCAACACTAACTTCAGTACTAGAATTCACTTTCAATTCGAACGTTCAGTGAAATATTATATTTCCTGCAAAAATTCTTCTATGCCTTTGTGGTGATTAGTGTAAACAAGATTGGCTAAAAAAAATTTTAACAAAATTTAATAAATATTTTTTATTAATATTAAAAAAAAATTAATTCAATTGCTCGCGTAAAACTCACTAATAAGTTGTGCAAAAACGTTTTTGAAAATTAATAAAAAATTGCCAAGTAATCACATATTTCCACTACACTCCACGTGTGTGTTACAGTGCGTCTTCTAAGAATTTTGCCACTGGTTTTGCTGGTCTCACGGTCGCCAGCACGTGCCACAGCCACCAACAGTCTTGTAAAGCGTTCATACATTACAACTAGCGACAATTTCGCAGCAGCAGGTAGTTGCAGTAGCAGCAGCAGCAAAAATACAAGTATGCCAGAGAAACGTGTAGTGCCAGTGATTTCTTCTTTGGAGGATTTCGAACGCAAATTACCTGGGTAAGTTTATAAACATTTATTTATAATTATATCGTATACTACATACCTATTACATAAGTATGTGTTATATTAATTTGAACACTTAATTATTAGCGAGCGCATCTTATAAATTTAATAGATGCCAATATCGTTTTTATGCAGTTTTTTTAAGAATTAATAGTTTTGATATTTTAATTCAAAAAAAAAAAAAATTAGTTTTGTTTGTATCAGATAGAGGGTTTTCAATCATAATAGTTGAGTACCTTTTTAAGCTTTTTCTTATTGTTCACAATATAATCAGATACTTGACGCTGGATTACAAAAAAAAGCGTCAGCTGTTCAAAAATAAAATTGCTATGATTAGTTTAAAGTAACATTTTTATGATTATTTAATTTACTTAAGTTTGACTCTAAATAGATTAGACTTACACTTGACTGCATTGATTTACGTACGTGAACTGCATGTATCCTGCAAAACAAAAATAATTTACCTATTATATATATATTATATATAAAATAAACTAAATATTTTTTTTTTTTTTTTTAAATATTAAAAAATTGTTTTTAATTTTTGAGAAAGTAAAAAGTCGCCAATTTATTATGGAGTTTTTACTCCATTTCCGTAACTATTAGTTTTATTTAGAATAATGTATCTTAAACTCTTGCAAAGTATAATTGACCTAAATGGCTACAGTCGATCTTAAAAGGCACAACGCTTTATACTTCAGACGGAATGCAGGAACTGTCAGTTTTATTTTTTTTAGTTAGGAAATGCTCTCAGCGTCTTATGATCACGATTTATAAACCTTTAATGAAATTCATTGGTTAAAAATCTGAACTATGGTATATTGAATAAAGTTAACCTTTTCGTGCCAAATCCAATGGGTAGCGCTGTTTTTATATTATTTTTAAATGAAATATGTATATAAAAATGAAATATGTATAAAAAAATATGAAAACTATAAATTTAGTCTGATGTTTCAAAATATTAGAGCAGGAATATTTAAATGAACGCCAAAATAAACTAATTTTCACATAGAGTTGATATGAGTCCCTAAAATTAAAATATACCTGGGACAAATACATGTTTAAAAGTTTCAGCTAAATTTTTGGAAACGATTAGGTATGACGTCTGTAAAATCGATGTATCTAAGTAAGCGAGTGTTCAGATATGACTCTTAGTCTTAACTTCTTCCTAGATAGTGTTCTTATGACAGCTCCAAACTTAATTGAAGTTTTCATATTGTAGTTCAGAGTTTTCAGTTCTTTTCTTGTTCCTTTAAGGTGATTCGGATTTAAAAGTGGTTTGGATAATATTCTCATGCCATGTGCTGATTTTTTATATGTTCTTTTGCTATTCATATACTTATATATACATATGTATATTTTATGTACTCTACATCTGATCTGCCGAGTATAAAAATATAGTTTACCTATACTTTTCATATTTAAAAAGCTTATTTGGTGAAGCAATTACTCTGAAGGTATTTCTTATAGCGCTGAGTATTTGAGTAGTGTGAGTTAATTTATAATGATAACAAAAATATGTATGTATATCCTAACTGCACGCTAACTTTAACGAAAAAGTGCTGCTTATCAATTGAATTGACCTTGACATTTCTTTTATAAAATAAAATGTAAATATTTAACATAATATAAACATTTATATATGTGTGTGCCACCAAACATACTTGTATATACATATGTACGTACCTATCTACAGCCATATGTATATGTGTTTGTGTATATATACACATATAGTATTCTTAGGAGCGTTGACCACTTGTTTGATATAGGGATATTTATCTGGTTAATGTCCTAGTTTCATAAACAAAGTACCAGGTTAGTATGTAAGCAATAAGTAAAAGAGAATGAAAAGCGAAAGCCCAGTATAGTGAAAATAGGAAAATATAAGTACGATAATTTATACATATACTCCTATATGTACAAATTTAAATCTAAAAGTTCAGTTTTCATCAGTGCTGTAAGCTAACATGAATATATGAGAGTTTTCTTCACTGCGTTTAATAACTTCTAACCTTTTCAAATGTTAAGCGTACCTATGTTGAGGTCTCACTAAAATATTTCGTCAAAATAAATGTGTTCTTCTTTGAGATTAGGGTCAGTAAAGGCGAACACTTTCCCCCTTCCACGTTAAATAATATTTTAACAGAGCAAAAATAATTCTAAGAAGAACAGACAAGAAGATTTCTAACAAATCATATTTTTAAGACACTAAGAGCCAAGTCAAACCTATGTTTTCCTGGAAATATTTTCCAGAACACCTCTTACTATGCACTCAAACTTTTGTTCGAACTCTGATCTCTTAGGAATCAATTTACGTACATTATATAGCAGCAACAAAGTTGGTTAGTTCAATTAAATATAAGAGGTATTGTGGTTTATATTATGTAATCGCCTGCTATTTTAACTAAATTTTATTTATACCAGTTGTTTGTGCGATTTGGCACTATCTACGCTAATACTAAACTAATTACTAGTTTCCAGTTCATCATTAAATTAAAAAGTAGTATTCAAACTTTGTTAGAATGTTTTACCACTTCGATATTTGCTTTTACTTTACTAATATTTCGCTATCCACAATTTTTTTGAGAGAAGATATACACTTTATTTATTAAATACAAGATTCCTGTACCTGCACCTGTAGTAGATGCAAGATACCTATACTTTTATGTCCAGGAAGTGAAATTAATTTCAAGCACTTAAATTGTCTCGCTAATTGTTGCTACTCTATATATCAAAACATTTCTGAAAATGCACTCAAAATCTTCTTCCTTCGCACTTAAATGTGTCCATGCAGATATTTGAATGCAAAAACACCACTCGCCTTGCTCTTGGACTACGATGGCACATTGGCCGCCATTGCCGATAATCCAAAGAACACCTTTATGACTGTGGATATGGAAAAGATGTTAAATCAGTTAGCCGTACATCCTCAAATATTTTTGTCCATTATCTCTGGACGTGGACTACGTGATGTACAATCACGCATCGGCATCAAAGGGATCACTTATGCCGGCAATCATGGTTTGGAAATTGAAAGTGGCAATGGTACACGTCACGACTATGCGTTACCCGCTGAACTAAAGAAACATTACGCGCCGATGGTTAAAGAACTGACCGATAATGTGCAAAAAAATGGTGCTTGGATTGAGGATAAAACAGTAACGTTAACTTATCATTATCGTGATGTACCCGCCGACAAATCTGAGGAGCAAAAGCAAGTGGCTATACGGATAATCGAATCGCATGGCTTCAGTGCACAGCTAGCGCACCACGCAATTGAAGCGAAGCCACCAGTGAATTGGCATAAAGGTGAGAAAACAACATGCATGAGTGTTTGAGAAAACTTAGAATTAATCACGAGTATGATATAATATATTTAAATGATTCGTTAATTTAGGTGAAGCTGCGCTACTCATATTGAAGGACCGCTTCGGCGAGAATTGGGCCGATAAAATTAAAGTGATATTCGCCGGCGATGACAACACCGATGAGGATGCCATGCGGGTAATTATTAAAATTTGTTCTAAAAAAACAAGTAGACAAGTATTTTTAATGGTTTTTTATTGTTGTGTTCAGTTTCTGCAAGGTTCCAGCAAAACATTCCGCGTCTCTCTTGATCCTGAAATCCAGACCTACGCCGATTTCCGCTTAGCTCAACAAGACGTTGTGGAGGACTTGCTAAAATGGATAAGAAAAACTTACTCCGATTAGTTTTTAGTATTTTTTGCGAAAGCAGCGTGGGATCGTTTTCACTTACAGTAGTTTAATAGAAAATTTATAAATATTAGGACTGTAAGCTTATCAAAATTATGCGAAGTGATGTGCAACGGCTGATAATTGGATATAGTGTACAGATATCTTTTGTATATAGGTGCTATCTAGGTTATTTAGATTTATGCAAATTGATATTTATGTTAAAGAAAAATACATAGCATTGGTAATAAATTTACAAAAAAATGTTGAAAACATTTCAAAGCATTTTAAATATATTTATTACTAATAATATTATATATAGTAAACTGTGGAAGGTGGGAATAAACCTTTTGTGAAGCTTGTTACTAAATAATGCTGCCCGTATTACTTAGTTTCAAAAACTAATGGTAAAAAAAATTGTTCGTAAACAGAGCATATATCGCTCAGGCATAATATTATTAATAATTTCGGAAAGAGGGTGGAAAAAAAAGAAAGGAAGGCAAGAGGAAATATTTCTTGTTACCAATAAATTGTGAGCACGTCAAACGAATATCGGATCTTTATTTAATCATGCGTTAGATTTTGCCAAATAGTTTTAGACGTAGTCACTCCAGCTTTGAAAGTATTTGTTGTAATTTGTTACTAACTAGTGATAGCATATGATAACGGAGATATTTCATTTGAAATATCTAGTGGGAAAAAGTATTTGCACCACCTACGAAACGCAGGCACGCTTTTGTGGACTGGAGCAAAATAATAACTGATTATAAAGGCAATTAATATAAATATTCTTAAAAAAATATTTTTCAGGTACTTATTTTTGCATGGAATATGGACTGATATCTCAGTAAAATGATTTAATTATAGTACATAAGTATATCGGTTTAACCATATATTGCCACCGTTTGTGTTCTATTTGATCGTTTTATTCTGATATTGAACGAACTTTGTGGAATTTGCCTGAGTGTAGTTTACGTTTTTTGAATCTAAGGCTGGTGAAGAAATTTAAGCAGATTGTTTGTAGTCGGTTTTAGGAAGCTAAAAGAAAGTCTTGGTAGTCTTGGTTTGCACATTAATTTAATGTTTGTATGACAGTGGCCTACAGTGATGTCCAAAAATAAGTGAACGTTAGTTATGGAACCGATTACGTATACTATTTCGGATACGTATATTACTTCGGATGCTGAAAACTGTCCAGCAAGTATTTGGATGGAATATCTCTTAAATCCCTTTGAGGTTATTTGAGACTTTTCATTCTCGTTCTATATAGTATAGAAGCTGTTTCCCTTAATGGCTTCGTTTTTATATATTCAGCTAAATCAGTGTGTCGTTGTTTGAGGTTATAATCGACTCGTTGTGGCAATTAACAAATATGTATGCAATGAATATATATCACTTAATTTCAGAAAGATTATTTAATGTTTGAAAATAAATACAAAGTAAAAAAAAATGTTCGGGGAGGTTGTTTATGCCAAGACTAAAAAGCGTTTTTTTAATTAACTTCTATTTTTTAATTGAGAAGTACCTGAGATGATGAATCTAAAGGATTTATACTCTAATTACATTCTCAATTCTAATTTTTGGTTAATTTTTTATTTCCCTTAAAGTTATTATTTCCAGTAAATTATTGAAGGACACATAACCTCACTTTTTTTAATATTGATCGGGCTATGTCGTCTGAATAGATAGTGTGGACCAAAGTGATAGTTATATTGGACCTAAATATAGATCAAACGCAGTAGACATGAATACTTATAGACTCATATTTCACAATGATAATATAAATATAAATTGGCCTGAAGGGGTTTATGAATGTAATGCAATATTCAGAAGTGAAGAATTAGTAAGCTTTTTTCATAACTATAACCCCGAGTCGATGACAATTGGTCATCTAATATGCTTAAGGCTATTGAAACCATATTTTCTCATTACAGAAACCACAGTTTCTCATTACCGTACACTGTCTCCTTAGATTTCTTGTTGTGAGATTGGTCAAGCTCAGCTTCGAGTGCGCGTGAGGCAGCTGAGTTGAAATTAATTTAATATGTTCTCTTATCTTCTCTGTTTAACTGAGTTTTTTAAACACTTCTAGCGGTTTTGAACTTTACTAGTGTTGCAATGAAACTTTCGTCTTTGCTTCTTGTGTTGTAATTCTTCACTCAACACTGTAGTCTAGTTATTGGCGCGTAGGCGTTTTCACGTGCTGATTCTTTATCAGATATCAGCTCCACATGGCGTATAATCGATATTCCCACTTGTATGTAATACATATGAATATTGTCTAACTATGTGTGTTTTAGAGTGCAGCACTGGTGAGTTGAGTGATCAATGTAATAAATGGCAAACTTGACTGGCGTTACAAGTGTCATTTCGTTGCGCTAGAGTTGCCATTCAGTGCATGTTTTTGCTGTGGATCACAACCAGTGAAAGCCGTGCAACTCTCAAAAGTTAATTTGTGTTCTTTGTTGGTGGTGCACTCACAAGCCGCTAGATGGTAAATGCAAGCATATACTCAGAAGAAAGAATATTGTGTTTGTTGTTCCTAAATATTTAATAATCTAATTACTATATTTTTTTGTTGTGCTTGTTGTAGGTATGTATGCATATATATGCATGTGCATTTAATAATCTAATTATTAATGTTTTGTGTTGTGCTTCTGGGTTGTTGGTATGTATGCATATATGTGCATGTGTGCGTGTGTTTGCGTTTGAATGCGATAACGGTGCGATGCCGATGATGACTCCGATAGTAATTGTGATTTAGTTTATTTTGCTGATGTTGATAAGTTCCGTTTAGGTGCTCTAAAATATTTACATATATATGTACATATGTATGTCGTTACATATACAATATATATGTATGTATATAAAAATTCAGCAAATAATAAAACTGAATAGTTGAGATTTAAAGGCTACATTTTAAATCACGCGAGCTCAGTAGTTGATTGTATTTAGAAACGCTCACTTGGTAGGTGGTTCGGCGTTTTTTGGTTTTACTTTCGAAAAAACAAAGTTTTTTTTAAAACTAAAATCTCGTTAACTTTAAAATACAACCCCAAAATAATTGCAATTCATCTAAAGCCGCTCACTTGTGATCTTTATTTTTCAAGCAAGCCGTTGGCAGCTACTTAATAACAAACATCTACAACAACAATTAACACGCTGTAATTGCAATGCCTGAGAAGCGTGTAGTGCCTGTGATTGGCTCTTTGGCTGACTTTGAAAGCAAATTGCCTGGGTGAGTTGAAATTTATTTGTTTGAAGAGGCTATCATATATAGTATATTTATGTATATACGGTTGTGCATACTATTGCTCATATTCAATAATCTGCTTACGTTGACTAACAATTGATAAAGCAAAATTTAATTATTCATAGTTTCTTCTTCTGAAATAATGATAGTAAAAAGTAATTTAAATATATAAAATTTCCAGTGGTTTTGACAAATTTAAGTGATTTCAATAATATTGTTTGAAATTATTACATACTTGCTTTGAGAGAAAAATTGCTGATTAAAAGTCGAGTGGAATAACAATGTTACATAACATACACAAATACATATATTGAAATTTTAAGATGAGTGGAGTGGAACAAAATATCAGCTCAAGTATGCCAATTTCAATATCTTATTTGAGTATACGAGGTGTGTTAAAAAATATTGCGAATTTTTTTTTTGCGGTATATATACATATGTACATATATACATATTACGATTTAAATTTATTTACCTGATATACATATATATTTATATTCATAAGTATGTAATAGACATTAAACGTTCAGATAGCGGCATAGAAAATTTGTATGAAGTAATTATTTTTGCAATATAAATTAATTTGTCTAACATTTTTCACGCTGTCTGCATGTTCAGTTGTTGTTCTTGTAATACCTATAATGTATTATATTACTTTTGCAAAATTATAGGTGCTTACAAGTGTTTATTTACCCCGCCAATTATATAACTACAATATATAAGTATGTGTATGTATATACATATATGCCTATACTTTTTCACTCGTCATATGACTGATAATTGTTTCGGTTGAGAATTATTGCAGATGGACACAGCTTAGTTGAGAACTATATACATATATGTATATGTATATAAATACATACACACATTCATATATTGGATTTATTCACTATGTAATAAATATGTAAAAGATATTGCGAAGTGGTTATGAAAACATAAATAAAATAATACAATATAAATAAGATATATTTATATTATAGTTTAGCTACAATTAAATAATATATTTATTTGCATATACACGTGTATACATATGATATTATATACATATGGCTTTTATTGCAAATAAATTAAAGGGCAAAGAAGTCCACAACTAAGCAATATTGTTGCAAATTAGAGTCACTGTATGGATATTTATCTGAAACATTCTTACATATCTAAACATTTATAAATATGAATGTAAATATAATATATATGTATGTAAATAACCGAGCCATGATGATAAAAGCGTTATCATACAGTGCGTAAAAAAATATTGACGCGTGTTTTGCGTCTGATTGAGCATTTGTAATTAGGTTAAGAATAATAACCATAATTAAAATAACTCACTAATTAGATTGATGGTAGTTAATGAATTCCAATATTGATTGATTTTGAAAATTAGTTATTTCTCTCATTAACGTTGTTGCTCATTTTGTTTAGACAGAGCTGTTTAGAGAGGGCAACCCGATTGGGACAATTTTTGACACTTACATTTCGCGTAGAAAATTTAAAAATAAATTACCGTTTTTGTTTTTTAAGATCCGTCTTTGACCCCTTATAGCTCCTATCATATAAACTTGACCAATATACACCATTAATATATGAAGAAAATGTGAATGACACTCATAATTTTACTTTTTAGTGGGTTAGATACATAATAATGTTTGAAATAAGCTCAATTTTGAAATTAATAAGCAAAAACATCGAATTTGGCGGCTAATTTCGAGAAGTAGATACTTTTTACTTAATCTCTTGAAAAAATTGAAATGGTCTTAACCCAGAAAAAAAATCGATTTTGCCGTACAGTGTTATATTTCTGAACTTCGTCCGTTCATTGTGTCCGTAATAATTACTGAGTTCTCTTTCCAACCGCGAGTTCTAAATTCAACGTTTACTGCTTCAAATGTTATCGAGCGAATTAGCGATGTCATGAACTCTTAAGGAAGATAACTTCGCCAGCTAAATCAAAATATTACATATTACGGCGCTGAATAATGGATAATGTGAATAATATCGCAATATTTTTAAACTTAAACCAAAATATTATATATGTTGAAAACCCATCCTCTATTTCCCGTATATAATGCAAAGCTGTCAAAAATACTGGTTTATATTTTTTATGTTTTATGTCTGGTAAATCGTAGCATAAATACCTAATGATTTCGTAAAATGTTCATAAATCATTCTAAAGGTCTCGCTAGGCCCTCTTCATTCGATTATTTTCAAATTGGTAACAAATCGGTAACACATGTTGGTAAAAAATTAGTGAATTAAGCCACATAAAACATAATACTTTTGAGACTAGTTCAAAATTTTCTCCCACGAAAAAATAAGATGTCTGCATAAAATTCCTAATATGTAGAACTTTGATGTCAGCAAATCTGTTAATGAACAGTCACCTTACAATAAATTTATGCGTTCTCCTTAACTTTACAATGGATTTTACGGGCGTAAAACTGCGTGAATAAGATATCCTTAGCATAAAGGTGTTCGATAATATGATACACAAACTTCATATAATTTCGATCCATAATTTATAGTAGATAGTTGTAGTATAGTAAAAACGTGAAACATCCTCATTTTATATTAGATGATTAATAGCCTGGTGTATTTAAATATTGTAATTATTTTAGGAGATTCTTTAACATTGCATTGATCCATCCATACATAACATATATGCATACTAGATCCCTGAATGTGAAGCTTAAAAATATAATTCTAATAAGTCATTGAATATAAATATTACATAAGCAAAAAGTGCACGGATTTCTTATCATAGTTAAGTCAATATCGTTATCTATCTGGGGTCTCATTAACTCATATACATTTCAAATATTATATTTGGCCATATCAACAATTATTTCTCATTTAATTAATGATTAGAACTTCAGTTTAATTAGTTAATATCATAAAAAATAAAGAAATGTATTTTCGAAATAATATCGCAGTTATTTGAACACAAACACTCCACTCGCCTTACTACTCGACTACGATGGCACTTTGGTGGGCATCGCCGATAATCCGGCGAATACATTTCTCACAGCGAGTATGAAGAAATTGCTGCACCAATTGGCCGTACATCCGAAGGTCTTCTTGGCTCTTATCTCCGGACGGGGATTGCGTGATGTACAGTCGTGCTTGGGCATCAAGGGGATTACTTACGCAGGCAATCACGGCTTGGAAATCGAGAGTGGCGATGGCACACGTTACGACTATGCACTGCCAGCTGAACTCCAGACGCGCTACATGACTATCGTAAGAGAATTGACGGAAAAGCTGGAAAATAACGGTGCATGGGTTGAGGATAAGAAAGTTTCGTTAACCTTTCACTATCGTGATGTGCCGGGAGATTCGGCAGAAGAATACAAACAAGCGGCTAAAGCGATAATTGAGTCGCATGGCTTCCGGGCGAATCAAGCGCACATGGCGATCGAGGCGAAGCCACCAGTCAACTGGAACAAAGGTGAGTGCATTCTTGTATGTGAACAAATTGCTTAAATACTGGTTTTAGGTGAGGCAGCTTTGCTTATTTTGAAGAATCAGTTCGGCGATGATTGGGCTAAAAAAATCAAAGTGATATTTGCCGGTGACGACAATACCGACGAGGACGCCATGCGGGTAATTCGCGTTGCTTGTTATTAGAAAAAAAAAAGATTATTTAAAAATATTTTTTCTCTTTACTTAGTTATTGCAAGGATCTGGTTTATCTTTTCGTGTTTCAACCGATCCTAATATTCAGACCTATGCTGATTTTCGCTTAGCGAGCCAGAGTGTCGTGGAGGGCATGATGACGTGGATAAGCAATACCTATAATCAATAGGACAAGCATTATAAATATATAATTGTGTATATAAATACACGACTGAATTTATTACGGCTTTATTGTATCTGGACGTCATAAAAGAGGCATTAAGGAAATTTTCAAATATTTGTTTATACATATGTGTGAGGTAATCAATGACAATTAGCTCAAATAGAAAATTAGTGTGCGAATAAAAGTTGAATTTTTGGCAAGAATTTGCAAAACATGGTCTTTGAGGACCATGGGCTGAAAATGATTGGGCCTCACACTAGTTTTATTGAATTCACCTCAGTTTCAGTTAGTACTAAGCTTCAAAAGACAGCTGTTAAAATTTCATGACATTCTATTCATAAGTTTGCGAGTTATTCTGCTAAGAGTTACGCTACTTTTGTTATTTTAAAAAGAAAAATAAAATCGTTCTGAATGATCGGAGAGTGAAGTTGCGTGATATAGCTGACATTGTAAGGATTTCAAAAGAACGTGTTGTCTCTATATGTTTAAACCTCACAAATCATTCTACAAAAGTGAAATTGAAATGTTAGAGCGGCGCTGCAATGATTGGGTTACTCTGGTCATCTGTTCATACTCTGGTGAAGATTATATTGCTGAACAAAGACAATTTTGAACAAAAAAAAACCGTTTTTTTGTTAGGCCCGCTTATTTTCAGGCCTTATGTTAGCTTTTCCTTGCCACACCTGAAGGTTTGAGCTCTATATCTTAATTTGCGGCCTAGTTATGGCACTTTATACGTTTTGGATTAATGGCGTTTAGTGGGCGAGGCAGTGGTCCCATTACGCTCATCTACCCACTCGTCCTTACTTTGTGCTAAGGAACATGTGTACCAAGTTTCATCAAGACATCTTAATTTTCATTCAACTTACAGCATGCATGGACAGATGGGCGGACAGACAGTTACCCGGATTTTTATTCGTCTCATCATCTTGATCATTTATATATATATATAATTCTATCTCGATTAGGTTGAGGCGATACCAACAACCGTTAGGTGAACATATATGTACCTATATTTTATATGCTATAAAGCGTCGTAAAATTTTTGAAAAGTATCTGTTTTTTTATATATCTGTATCTTTTTCAGTAATATTAGAAACAGTGTCCCAAAATGTATATTAATTTTCTAGTACATATCTATGGATTTTGTATTTATATACAAATTGTATATATAGTATATCATATAATATATACTCTCTTTAAGAGCGAAAAATTTCCCAGATTTTTTTGCTCAAAAAGCTTTTCAAACTCGAAAGTCGGTCTATAGGCAAAACTAATGATAAAATCTAATAATTTTTTATAAAACATTTCATGATATTGAACGTTAAACAGGACCTGAGGTAATGGTATAAAGGACTTTCAAACTCACATGAACAGATTTTCGAAAATCAGTGCTAAAACGACGGAATAAAATTAGTAGTCAGTATTTTTAGGGTGGAAGATTTTCAGTTGACAGTCCATGTTCAGAGGATTATAGCAAAATAACATCCTTGTGTTAAGTGTATCAGAAGAAAGAAAAAAAAATTCAAGACGATGCGACAGATGGTCAACCAAAAGAGTACAAACAAACAGAGATTGGAAAAGTTAGATAAAGCGCTACTAGGTTCAACCAGTAAAGTCCAGCCGACAATCATATGGATAATATTATATAATACTGAAAATGTTCTCAAAATTGTACTCAATGCCATTTTATTTGAAGTCATTGACCTCTTTACACTTTGAACTTCTCGTTTCCATCTTCACAATTCGCAGTATAATCTTGTAAAACTGATAATATGTATTTTCTCTTTCCTGCTGGCACTCATATACCATAAGTATCTCTAATACTATCGTATTGTCTATACTTGTAAAATGTCGCATAAATATTGTTTCCTCCATGCACACCGAGTGTGACGATGGAAAAGCTTCTTTCCGACACTTTCCAAGTAAAAGCAAAGCAACCATGTCCGTATTTCGTTTTTAAAATTAGTATCCATAATATTTTTGAGAGCATTAGATGATCTTCACTCTCATGAGATCACCCATCGCTCTCAAGATTTATGCGCTGAGAAATACTTCGACATCAGCAGTCATACGACGTCATACGAGGTATTTCGGCCAACTGTTAGGCTAAAACCATGCTCTCTTCTAACAAATTCCTTCATATTTAGTATATACACACATACACAGTCTTTATAGATTTCATCGATCTGTTCGTTTGAAACAGCTTCGCCTTTGACTTCGTTTGTTTCGCGTTCGTCTACCGCCTTTTTCCCGATTTTCTGGCCTGCGGAGATTTTTGAAATGTTCATATAGTGTCAGTAGTATTAAAACGGTCGGTGGGCATCCAGCAAAATTTTCCGCTTAACTTGAATAATAATTTCCGTTGCTTTCTTTAGAGCTTTACTGTGAAAGTGAAAGTGTAGTTGTAGTTAAAAATATATATTGAAATATAAAATACAGAAATGGCTGAACAAAAGAAGGCTCCACTTCTCAAGAAAGAGGAAGATTACGTGAAAGCGTTGGATGGGTAAGCATAAAAACACCAGTTTGAGTTTTAAATTATGATGTATTTATATAATTTTTTTGTTTCTCCAAAAAAATTTGTATGTAGTTTCTTCACTAAAGAAGATCAGGTTGCGTTGTTGCTCGATTATGATGGCACATTGGCTCCCCTTAGCGAAGAGCTCTCCGCCATGCCAAAGGATACTGAGATCAATATCAAGAAATTGGCTGCTAACGACAAAGTCTTCATGGTTGTCTTCTCCGGCCGTGATTTAGCTGAAATTAAGAACCACTTGAAATTCCCCAATGTCACCTATGCTGGTAATCATGGTTTGGAGGTTGAGTACCCATCGGGCAAGAAATTCAAGATTGAAATGCCAGAAGAACTCTTGAAGAAACATCAAGAACTCGTCAACGAACTTAAAGAAAAGGTAATTTAAGAGGGGTTGGTGTTTTGAAAGGAGGGAGAAGAGGTAAAAGAATATATAATAAAATTAGTAGTATAAAAAATGAGAAAATCTAAAAATTACTAACTAAATAAAAATAAAGGGTGAAGAGCTTAAAAATATTAAAAAGCAAACTTGAAAGTATTTGGAGTTAAAAAAAATTTAAGTTTTAAAAGTCTTAGTACTATCATAGTTTAAACTTTCTTTCATTCTATCTAGATATTCACTACTAATTCTATGTATATTTTCTCGTAATAATACTAAATTTCTCAAAAAAAATGTTCCCCCCAGGTGGTTTTGCACGGCGCCTGGGTTGAGGACAAGAAAATCTCCGTTACCTATCACTACAAGGGTGTCAATGACAAACTGAAGGCAAAATTGATTGAAACTGCCAAGGGTCTGATTCAAGGACATGGCTTCCAGCTGATCGAAACCCCATACGCTTTGGAGGGCAAACCACGCGTCAACTGGGACAAAGGTAAGTTGAGCAACAATATTATTTTGTGCGGGGGTAAACCAGTAGAGGGTTACAGACAGCTGAACCAGTTTTTGAATAGAGCATTTTTAGATGATGATGTTTATAGCGAGCTGTTAGAAGAAAATCTATCATTTTAATGAATTTATAATAAAACGCTGTAATAGGTATAAAAAAATACTGTAAATATTAGAAGGCATAGTTAGCTGTTGTTTATAACTTTCAATTTACTTTCAAGCTTATTTATTAAGTTTTCTTATATTTCTTAGCATCTTCTATAACTGTTTTTTTCAATAGTTAAAATATTTTATTATGATATTTTGCAAAGATCTTTTAAAGGCCACTAGCTAGTAATTAAAATTTAAATAGCGGTTAAATTTTGTAGTTAAATTTTGTTTTTTGTTTTTTACCCTTTGAGAGGTTGCAGAAGCTCTACAAATATCTCAAATATTATATCAGGAAATGAATCATAAAATTTCTTTGGCACTAAAATTAGATCCTTCAAAAGCAATTACCTATGTATATACCCACACACACCTTTTCGTTTAGAATCTAAACTAATTGTTTCTTATTTGTTAATTAAAAATCATTACTAAGCAGCTATTTTCGACATTTAAGTACTTATGAATTTAGTGTTAGTGCCGCAGGATAGAAAAAAATTGAAGAAAAATTATAAATAAATACAAAAAGAATTTAGTTCAATTCTAAAACAGTTGCCATAATTTGTCACGGCACATAAATAAGCAATCGGTTATGTGGGTAGCATAGAACGGCTGCATAGAAACGGTATGTTTTATGTTTTGTTTATTTTTTTGCTATTTCATATTATCTTTGTTTTTATATTGTATTCTTGCGCGGCTCTTGTTGACCTCATTGGCCGTCTAACAAATCAATCAGATTTTCGAAAAACTTTCAAAATATATTTTTCGACGCTCAAGTTTGGCGCTGAAGCGAGCACCTGTTTCAAGCAATTAAAATTTTATTTCAATATGATTTATTTAATTCAGCACTCAGCATAAGCAAAGAAAAGTAAAAGTTTACAAAGCTACATTAATAAAAATAAATTCAATAAAAATACATGAAATCGAAAAACAAGCATACAAAGTGTATACATACATATATTTGAATGTATATATGTTATGTGCAATAATGCATAAATTACTATGAAAATATTGGCGAAAACAAAAACAAAAATTATTTTCTGAGCCATATAAATTTTTATTAAGCAAAATGAGCCGTGTGGGCGTGAAGAAAAAAACACAAAAAAAAAATAACTCAAAAAAATAATACAAAATATACGCCGCAAAACACAATGCTGCCACTTGTCAACAAATATAACAACAACAGTGCCATGACGTTTGAAAAATAACGGTATACACAAAAAAAAAGCGCAAAATAAATAATATCTAAAGCCGCATGCACGCAAACTTGAGTGTCTAAAATTTAAATTCAAATTCTCAACCTGTTTAAAACATTTAATTATTCATCATGAAAGCCAAATTTTCATAAAAACAAAAAAATTTAAAACACGCGGACAAACACATTACGTTGTATGCATATAAAATATACTTTTATAATTTTTCAAATATACACCCCTACTGTGTATGTGCTAAAATATACTACGAATGTGTGTGTGTGAATGAGTGTTTGCAATGCCCGTTGGATACAATGCGCCATATATAATATTTCCGATCGGTCTAGCCAGTGGTCGCCTACAACGACGCCGCTGTCATTGATACATTCGTATGTGTGTGTACTATGTAAGTGTGAATGTATGACTCAGAAGTCGATTTCCCGGGCAAAACGGTGGAATTGACGGGTGCGTTGATATTTTTAAGATTCGTATAGAAGAAAGCAATATTTTTATACACATTTATGCAGAAGACATGCATACATATGTATGTACATGCCTCTGCAAATAAAACCCAATTCTACGTTTGCGGAATTTTTTGAAAAATTGTCGATATATACGTACATATATGTTACTTAAATTAATTTCGTCATAAATTTTCGTTTGATAAATATTAAAAAAAGAAATGAAAAAAAATAAAAATTGCTTAAATACATAACTAATATATAAAAAAATAAAAACATTTTTTAATGCGCATATATTCTTGCATAGTATATATTAATAAATAATAAAAAATGCAAGCGAAAAACATAAGTTCTTAAAACTGAAAAATACTATTTTTTTTTATAAAAACTATACAAAAAATTTCGCGTATAATATATAATAAATAAATATGTGTATAAAATGAAAAAAATGAGCATACCTTTAAAAATAAATATTAAATAAAAAATATAGTAAAAAGAGCCAGAAAAATAATAAAAAATTTCAAAATAAATAAATATTAAATAAAAGAGTATTTTTTTTAACGAAATACATTTTTTATACGAATTTATTCTTACTTGGTATACATTGAATAAATATTCAAAAATGCAAGAAAAAAATTAAAAATTCTTAAAATTAAAAAATACTTCAAAAGAATATTATATATATGTACATTATAAAAACCAAAAATCTCGCGCACACAGCACTCATCATTCACACATAATATATAATAAATAAATATTAAAAAGTGTAAGTGTAAAAGAAATTTAAAACATAAATCATTAATTATAATTTATAAATTCCTTCAAGCGCCTAACCCACAATTTTCAAAAAATTACTCGTTATATCGTAAGATTTCCTAACGTTTAGCTAAAATTTCTTTTTCAAATATTATACTTCAAAGCTATAAGCCGTAACTTAGCCACTCATTAAATTATATATTAACTGTTATAACCGCAGATTAGCTTTTTATTAATTTCCAGCGAAGAGTTTCTAGCGAATTCTTAGTTTCTAGGACTGTGTGATTTAATGCCGGTAATATGGTAACATATCTTATTTATCAACAATTTGTCAAAAAACAAAGCCAAATAAATTTATGAGCTCATATACGAGTACAATAAACAAAAATATAAAAATCAATTTCAAAAGTAAAAATAAACTATCAGCTGTCAATATTTGCCGCAATTTTGCTTAAAGATTTATAGTCTTTTGTATTGTAGGCCGACAAAAGCTTTAGCAGAGAACGTATATCATATAAATATAATAAAATATATGATATTTTATTTATATGATATACGTTCTCTATATATATATATATATGATATTATATTTATATGATATACGTTCTCTGGCTTTAGTCAATGTGATTAAATGTTAAGGATGCCAAAATAATAGAATAGATCAAAATAAAATAAAAACAAAATTCGAAAGGAATATATACTAGTGGAATTCTTTGGCAATTCAGGCAAATACGAAAAAATGAAAAAGTAACTAAGTAGAACAAAATCTATATATACGGTACAAAAAAAACAAATGCTTAGATCAAGTAAAGATGCAAGGATCTCGGGTTTTTATATATTTTTTTTTCTTTAGACGCTCATACTGTTAGTGTTCCCACAAAGTTTAAAAAAGTTAATTTCAAGTTAGAATATACATATATATAATATAATATGTATGTATCTTGTTCATACAGAATATTTCGATTTATTACTTTGTAGTTATATGTAATTATGTATACACTATCTACAATATATGCTTTTTTGAGTAAGGAATATTGAACACATGTAACGGTAAAATATTTAAATACCATCAATCCTACAGCTACTAAACCGCAACCGGCATTTGTTACCAGAGGAAAATAGTGCTGTTTTCCCCCTCTCTCATTTCTATTGATATCTGTTTCTACCGTAAAATTACTCCCTTATTTCTACAGTTTAAACTGGATTTCTGCAGATTTACAGAAAATTATTTTCACCTTATCGTTACATTTTTCCATAACAATTACTTTCAATAATATATTTGATTGCTTCGCTTTGTCAATTAAATATAAATGCTTAGGCTGAAAGCATAAAGTTACTTAGCACTATTTAGAAATCTACGTTTGTAGTAAGTAGATCAGTGGAGAAGAATTTAATGGATTTTTCGTTATATTTTTAATTATTCCATACATAAGTACATTCGTGTTTTGTGCAGTATCCGAAAAATGGCTGTGCTGGTTACTTTAAAGTATTGAGAACAAATTTGCGCGCATCCGCTTTAAAATTCCAAGAAAATTTGAACCATGTATGCGTATTCAAAAATAAAAATAAAATAAAACAAAAAAAAAATACTATAAAAAAATTCTGAAGGTTAGACTCTCCAAACACGCGACATTTTAAAATTCCCATTATTTTTTGAGCATACCTCGTATATTACATTACTAAATCCAAACTATTTAACTAAATATGAGTCAAAATTAGCACGACTTTACAAAAAAATGTGTATTATTCGCTCTAAAGTTCCCCTTCGATTTTTGGAAAGTGCTATTGAAAATTTTTAAGAATTATTATTAATTATTTTTTTTCATTATCCTAACCTCTAATGAAAAAACTAACTAAACTAAAAACTTTTGAAATTTCATCTTAATAAATATTTTACATTTTTTATACTTGAGTCTGGCAGTTAAAAACTATATTTTTTCATATGAATAGCTCGGTTTTGGAAACAGAACAGATTTCTAAATTCGAAAAACATTAATTTCATGTTTGACTTGTCATATTTCTGTTTGCAATTTTTAAACAAGTTTATTGAAAAAAATTATATATAAACATAATTTCATTTCAACCCTGAAAATACCTTTAATTCTTTACCATTTTGTGTACTAATTTTTTCATATAAATAACTGTTTTTTGACATAAAACTGATTTTTAAACATAATTTCATTTGTCGTTTAAAATTACGTGTAATTCTCCACCATTTTATATTCCCAAGTATAATTCTTTATACACTCAGCTGCTTGAAGCATTATAAAATCTTTTGCAAGTGTGACAACAAATTAGTAAATTTTATAGTATTACTTTGCTAATAAATAAAATAGTTCTTCATGTGGCTCTTAAAGCTAATGCATGTGCACAAAGAATTTTCCATAATTTTTAAAAATACCAATTCTCGCTCTCCATTGTGCACCGTGGCT